GATCCTTATAAAGCACGTCCTTAGTGCCATACCACTTCATATCATGGGTTGCAGCAAACTACCAAAGAGTGTTATTACTCTCCTTGAATCCAAAATGAACACCTTCCTTTGGGGTAATAACTCGGAGAAGAATAAATATCATTGGTCTTCATGGAATAAGATCTGCCTACCAAAAGAGGAAGGAGGACTAGGATGTTATAGCCTTCACACAATTCAGGAAGCATACGGTCTCAAAATGTGGTGGTCCTATCAATGCAATAATTCCTATTGGGCAAAATTCATGCGGAAGAGATACCCAAGAGAGCTTGACACCCCTCTAAAAGCAACTGACTCTCCTATCTGGAAACGCCTAAGTCACAGCAATGAGATTGCCAATAACAAAGCCTATATTGACAACGGAAAACTCATTTTCAGTAGGTAAATCGAATCCGTCTTTGCTGTACAATTTTCGACTAAGGATAACTACCCTTTTCTCAAAGATCAAATTTCAAGTCTATATATATAGCATGATTGTGATGAGGGTATCTCATATTCTCACATTATGGAAGGAAGTTCTCGAACTCTTTCTTATACCATAAGATTCGTTGGTCTACTTGGTAGTCATGCTCTTGGTAGTAATCCAAGGTTCATGGCTACAGCGGTCGATCTAGGACGGGAATTGGTAAGGCGAAAAGTCAGGCTTACCTACGGAGGAGGCAATGTTGGCCTTCAAGGAGCTGTTGCTTCAACAGTCTTTACCAATGGTGGTCTCGTTAGAGGTTTCATTCCTGGTTACATAGCAACACGAGGTGTCTACGGACCTACTTACGGTGTAGAGCATACAGTTTCCAGCAACTATTACAAGTATTTCGAGATGAATCACGCCGTGGAAGCTTTCATCATTCTTCCCGGAGGAGTTGACACTATGGAAGGTTTGTTCACCTTGATTTCGTGGGCTTTTGAAGGATTACACAATAGACCCATTGGTCTTTTGAACATTGATGGTTATTTCAATAGCCTAATCAAATTTCTAGACGATGCGGTGAGGCAGAACTTCATGGCTTCCAGTCAGAGAAAACTTTTCATTTCTTCTTTCTTTGTTGGTGAGCTTTTAGACAAACTAGAGTTTGCTAAAGCTTTTCCGACTTTTGGGACTAATTATGACGAGTTCGCAAATCCTGGGGGATTGGATTTGGAGTTACATTTGTAATATTACTTCATGTAATCCCAGTTGTATTTGTGTCGGAATGATATTATCCGTTGTATGGCCAGTGCGAGCTATATTCTCTTCATTCTTCAGTCTTTCATTGTTGGTGTCACTGATTCACGTCATGTTTTGTATCATCATCACGATCGCGATCTTTCACGTCGATAGGATATCCGAACGAGTCAACTACCTTATTGATTTGTCTTTTGAGCATCTTCATTTATTCAGTCAGATTACATTGATGTTTCCGATGATAAGTAATTTGGTCATTATTTGCTTCATAACAAGGCATCAGTTCATTCAACAAGGTTGAGCTGTCTGTAGCTTTTAACAAGCATGTTCGTTGTATCTGACCAAATAAGTCGTCAGTTCATAGAAATTCTTAATTGTTAGTTTGTTCAAGTTTCTTAACAAGGATTTGTGAATATCTTGACCGTAAGTCAATCTTAGAGATTACAATGGATTCCCTAAGCTGATCAAATAAGTCATGATACGAGGTAAAGGATAACAAATTGTTCAACTGATAGTAGTTGATATAGAGTCTCGTTGATTTGCGTATGAACAAAACATGTATTCTCTCAAGGAGGAAACACTTGATCAGATGATCCTTTGTCGGGAAGTCATTGACGGAAACACGTTCAATACAGAGTTACAAATATTGGTCCTTTTATAGGATCAAGATTGACAGAGAAATCAATTTCTC